ACAAGTTTTTCGTGCAAAGATGGATGGGCAGCTAAGCAAAATATACTTGGGCAATTCACAAGGTGTCGTATTTGTCGTGTTTGTCGTGAAGTCATGATATTTCATGACAGTTGTAAAAATGTTGTTATTGTTTTGTGAAGAAAAATAACACATGACGATACAACTCTGCAACCTATGTTTATTCGGTGTTATGTGAGGTTAAGTGCTGAGATATAATAAATAATCGTAACAGGTGTTCACAACCGTCGTGTTTTAACACAACTTTTGTTAGGAAAATATAACTTCACAACACCTTGTGAATTGCCCAACTGTATTTTCATTCAAAATAAAAAATCGATGCCAATGTGAATACAAATATCTATAAAAATATGGATAAATATATTGATTGAATAATCAATAAATTTATCGATATCAAAATCGATAAATACAACGAAAATTCCGAAAATCAGGAAATAGTCCCTGGAATATAGAAGTAGTCTCGAAAATCCCGACATAGTTCCGAGAAATACAAAATATTCTCGAGAATCGCAAAATAGTCTTGAAAATCCTGATTTAGTACCGAGAATCTCTAAAATCCAGAAATAGTTCCCAAATTGAGGTGTGATGAGTTTAGGTGAGAACGGGTGTGATGTGTTCAGTTGTGGTAAGTTAAGGTTTGGTGAATTTAGGTATGGTAGGATGAGGTGTGGTGAGTTTCTGTGTGATGAGTTGATTTGAGGTGAGGTGAAGTGAGTTGTGGTAAGCTAAGTTGAGGTGGGTGTAAGGTAAGGTGTTAATTTTTTAAATTCCCAAGTTTTTTTACTTTAATATCTGAAAGCTCTCAAATACCTAAGTATTTTTAACTTGAGTATTTAGCAACTCCTAAATACGTAAATTTCTTTTTACATGAATATTTAGACATCTCTAAATACTACGTATTTGAGCATTTAGTACCCAAACTGGTACTTTAAATATAAAAGTATTTAGGTATGCCCATCTCTGAAAAATATAGACCTAGCCTTTGTACGGGTCATCCATATCCCGGTACTTTTCTGACAGATTGTGCGTATTATACCTAAAAATCATTTGCGTAATTAATTGGTAAACAAATCATTTGTAGAGCAAATAATGAAAGAACCGGTAACGCTCGTTTGTTACTTAAAATGTTTGCCAGAAAATGGCTTAAGCTAAATAGACAATGGAAAACGTCATCCTGGCAACGCTGATTCGACGGACCAATTTATCCAGTACGACATTTAGCGGAAGGACTTGAGCAGATTAATAAAAGGCCTCACTTTGCATTGCTTTGTTGCAGAATTTACTAATTTT